TGATGAAAACTGTGAAGTATATGAGCTACTTTGGGGCATCTGATTGATGGACAGATTTTGTGCATTCAGCGTGTGCAACGGTGTAGACGTTGAAATGCAACTTTGGTTCTCTCGATTTTCTTCGTTTTTTTGCTCCAGATACCAGTCTGCGAAGGTTGACGTGACATGAAACAGGAATGGGATCCATGCTGTACAGGCAACTGTGGTTTGCATTAAGAAATTGATGGATTCTGTTAACAAAACTGTGGTTAACAAAATCGGTAAAAAATATGAGTGTAATATTTGTAGTTGCTGTTCAAGCAGTGGTCGCTATGTAAAATAATTTACAAAACCGCTGTATCTTTTGTTTTAAAAAAAGAAAGCTAAAAAAGCACTTATTGAAATGATTCCTTGTATTGCTCTGTGTAGTGTAAGCAGATAGTAGCAGAAAACTCCAGAAGTTGACATTATCTGAAACTCAGTTTATTACCAAAAGCCTATCAGTTTTTGAGTATAAATCCTATTAAATCTTTTACAGAAAATGTACGTTAATTCGATAAAAAATTTGAACTCTACCAGTTAAACAAAATGTATTTGGAACAAGCAAGAACAACAGCCTCAAAACTTTTTATGATGTTTATCAGCAGAAATAAAACAAGAAAGAAAGAAAACTCTTAATTAAATAGTTAGTAAAACAGCTTCGAAAAGGAGAACCTCAAGATAAAGTAAATAAAGATTTGGGTAATTTTGTCGAACGCAGCAACAGTAGATCATCACCAATGTCGTTGTCGGCCATGAGATCATCAAGAATACCGTCAAGCTTTGTTCTGCTGTAAACTTGGAAAAGTAAAGCTCAAGGTTCCGCAATCTTTTCCATTTCTGACAGTTGTCATAAACTAACAATTGCTGAACGTTATTGATCCTTGAAGTTTAAAAATTTTACTGAACCATTCATTCAATAACTAAAATTTTATAATTTTGCTTGACTAAAATTTATAAAACAAAGCGTTAAAAAGCTTAACAATTGCTCTAATTCTATTTTAGGTCTTTTTATACAGATTAAAATAGGTGGAATAACGAAGTACTTACAAGGCTGTAAAAAAGTATTATCAAACAGCTTCACATTGAAGTAATGAACAAGTAGCCATGAGAAATGAAATGCAAGTACCACAGTTGCTACAATAAGCGATAAAGCTGCTAAAATAAAGCCTGAAAAATTTTGTTTGCTGAAACTCTGTCTGTGCTAATTGTAGGCATTGAAAAGTAACTGCAATACGATTGGAACTGGTAAAACAACAGGAGAACATCGGACATACGACAGACTTACAGTGAAAGTAATACTTTCTGTCTAAACTTTTAGCTTATACATTTTTCCTTCTGACAAGAAATATATGTTTGATCATAAAAAGTTCTTTTTTAAGTTTCTTTTTTTTTTCAGACTTTCTCAGACTTTAAATTCACGATATAATTTTGCAATACATTTCCTCTGCATTCTACTACAATTTAAACCTTTTTTTTTAAAATTTCTATTTTTGACTCTAAAAATTACTTATTTGCAAAAAAAAAAAAATGTTCTTTTTTTTTTGCAGCATCAAACACAACAAAAAATAAATTTTTCTGGTTTTGAAACCTATAACTCTTCGAGCCATTTCAAAATTCAACCAAAACAAGCATACATTAGGCGGTGTAACAGAAAAGTATTGATTTGTTCAGAAAATTCGTTCTCTAAGCGATCAGTAACCAAATATGTTTCACTCCTCAGCCGGTAATCATTATGCAATTTAGCATCCATGTTTCTCATATGCATAACTTTTATTAAATCTAATTCTAAACTAATTCACTGTTATTAGTTTAGAGTCAAAAATGAAAAAATAAAACAAAAAACATACTTTGAATAGTACAACTGCAGCCCATACTGTTCGGCAAAACATCGAAATCACGCTCGATAAGCAATATCAAAATCTGAAACAGCTTTTGTTTTTTTTTTTTTTTTTTTTTT